CTTAAATAATCTTAGATAGGTCTCCACGATTAATTCGGCTAAAGTTTAAGCAATAAATACTCAGGGTTAGGGTTGCCGTTTTCGAGTCGGGCCGACGGTCGAGGCATTTTTTTTCGGGCTTGTTTTTATCGAGTCGGGCCGGTACGAGTCTTTTTCGGGCCTTACTTTATCGAGTCGGGCCGATACGAGTCTTTTTCGGGCCTAACTTTATCGAGTCGGGCCGGAACGAGTCACTTTCGGGCCTGACTTTATCGAGTCGGGCATCGAGACATTTTCGAGTCTTTTTTTAAAAGATATATTTAAAAATAATTAGTGGATTTGGAGGGATATCTGTGAATTAAAAAGTATATCGATGGATCTGGGAGGTAAAGGAAGGGCTGAAGAGAATTGAAATGGATATCAGTGGATTTGAGGGATTAAGGTGATTTAAATTATCGGAGGATTGGTGTGAGATATTGCTAGATTTGGTTTTATTAAAGGAGATCAGATGATTAAGGGGATCAGGATCGCATATCAGATAATTAAGGTGCTACGTTGTAATAGGATTTAAAAAGATTGAAGAGATTTGAATGGATATCGGAGATTTGAAGGATAACGCAAGATTTAAGTGATATTGAGTTAATCACCAAATCCCTTAATAAAATCCCAGTGTACCATGATTGAACTATTCGTATTTTGATAAGGGCTTACTGGAAAGTCAGGAAACCAGATTTCTTCTATTTTTAGCGCCGCAGGTGAAAATTTTGAGAATTTTGGAGACCAAGAAGCCAGATTTCTTCCATTTTTAGCACCGCAGGCAAAAACTTTGAGAATTTTGGACCCCCTGGATACGCCCTTGACTTAATCACTCAAACTGCCTTATATTCCCAGATTACACCTTATATCCCGGATGGTGGACTGCGGATTGCGTAAGATTGTGTGTTTTTGACTTGTGGACTGAAGATTACGACTGCGTATTTTAAAGTTAAAATTGCGGACTGCGGAAAATTGTAGACTCTCAAAACTGATTTAGTTTCAAAAGTTAAATGATGATGGGATCCCGCGGAATATATCCTATAAATCCCAGTAATCCAGCTTATCGATTAAAGCCAGTAAGTTCGAGATGTGAAGCAAAGTATAGAGCTAAAAATCCTTCATTCAGCGCCGCAGGCAAAAATTTTGAGATATTCGGAAGGCTAAGGACCAAATTTCTTCCTTTTTCAGCGCCGCAGGCGAAAATTTTTCGAATTTTGGAAGGCCAAGGAGCCAGATTTCTCCCATTTTTGTCCACAAATCTGGTAAAAATATTATCGAGTCTTGTTCGAGTCGGGCCGACTTTTTCCGAGACAATTTTTTTCGGGCCTGTTTTTATCGAGTCGGGCCGGTACGAGTCACTTTCGGGCCTAACTTTATCGAGTCGGGCCGTTACGAGTCTTTTTCGGGCCCAACTTTATCGAGTCGGGCCGGTACGAGACTTTTTCGGGCCAAACATCGAGGCATGACTCGATCTTTCGGTCCGAGTCGGTCCATTTTGGCAACCCTACTCAGGGTAATTATTCGAGCATATACTAAGTACTTTAATTAATTTAAAATTAATAGAATATACCTAAGTATTTTTAATATCTTCTAGATACGCCATATTTACCCAGTTACCTTCTTCGAGGTCAGAAATGTAGCGTTTGTGAGGATCTGGCAAAAGGATTACACTATAGGTTTGAATTAATTATCGATGGTTAAATAATTTTATTTCTGAAAATTAGTTTAAATAATTTTTGAAATTATAACATAAATAAAAAAATTTTATAGAAAAATTATTAATTTAAATAATTTTTAGTAAAATATTTTTAAATAAAAAGATAAACATTACAAAAATAAAAAGAAATCTATTTTGTATTTTAATTTAAAAATAAGTTTTTCAAGTAAAAATAATTTTAAATTATTATCTACATAATAAAATTTAAAAATGAATTTTGTAATGAGGCAATAATTTAACAAATTATTGCTTAAATTTAGGTTTGTAAATCCCTATTCTACAAATACCTATAAATTCAATAATTATTTTACGAATTAAAAAAATAATTTGCATTTATATTTAAAAAATTTATTTCAGGGTTCGGATCGACAAAATTCCAATCTAAAGTAGAAAAATCTCGATTTTAAAGTATATAGGGAGAAAATTTCCAAATATAAAGTATAATCCAAATTAAATTAGAAAATATTTTTTCGTGCCCATATCTTCTATATTTCTCTCTAAATGAATCTTTTCTAATAATTTCTTGTTTCCAATGAGCATTTTGTGCATTTCAATGCACTTTTTGTGGGGCCGAAGGCGCCACAAAATTTATTTTTTTTTGCGCCGCAGGCGAAAATTTTGAGAATTTTGGAGGTCCTTAGCCAGATTTCTTCCATTTTTTGCGCCGCAGGCGAAAATTTTGAGAATTTTGGAGGTCCTTAAGCCAGATTTCTTCCATTTTTTCCAAAATGTTAATTTCAAAGTATATACTTTGAATAAAGTAGAAATTCAATTTCGTAAGTATGGAGGTCGATTTCAAAGTAGAATACTTTCAAATAAAGTATGAATCCGAACCCTGATTTATTTTAAATTTCAAACTAGTAGTGTTAGACACGGACGGCTTTAAAAGCAAAATTTTTATTCTTAAGCCAAAAATTAAACGTTTTATGAAATTTTAAAAACCAAGAATTTTTGAAAACAAGTGATTTAGAAACAAAATTCTCACATAATTAAACTGGTATTTATCTAAACTCAAAACCGAAAAACGGTTTTTTTTTATTTTGGATTAACCGGAAACTGGTGTTCGAATTAATAATCGATTCAATCTTATCCTATTTTAAACATAATAATTTATGAAAATATTTTAGCGTTTAATTTCTTAAGCCCTATAAAACTTAAAATTCATTTTTAATTTAATTTTTCACAGACAATAAAAAATAAATTTACTGTTTTGATTATTTAATTAATTAATTATAATTTAAGATTAATTAACGAATAAATTTTTAAGAAAAAAATTTATGGTTTTGGGTTTTATATCAGAATTTTAAACCCGCTAATTTTTGGCAAAAAATACTACATTAATAGTGTGAATTTAAAAATAAATTCCCCCCCCCCAGTAATAATTAATTATAATTAATTTTATTAAAGGGCAATTACTTGTGAGGGATGTAAGGGTTTCTTTCGGAGAGTCTACCAACGTCCAAACCCTCGTTTTGTCTGCAAAAATCAACTTCCCAATCAGCACTGTCCCTGCCCAATTAACAAAAGCACAAGAAATGGCTGCCAAAGCTGCCGCTTAAAAAAATGTTTAGATATTGGAATGGACCCCCAATGTTTGAATTTAAAAAAATTAATTGTTTTGAGGGAATTTCATTTAATAAATTTATATCATAAATTTCCCCAAATTTCACGGAAGGGCCAATTTTGATAGAGAACTATTTTAGCTTTTCGATTTTTACAACTGCATGGATCAAGTCTAATCACTCATTTAAAAGTTAAAAATGTTAAGAGCAATTATTTGGTGTTTCATACATTTATAGTTTTTTATTGTAATCAAACTAGATCCATCCAGTTGGCACAAGATACCGCTTATTGAGGGCTTTCGAATGATATAAGATTAAATTGGAAGGATTTAATAAGTTTTGTGAAAAACACTAGATAATTGCGTATAACAAGCCTTAACATTTAACGTCTGATTAGACTTGATCCATTCAGTTGTAAAAAACACGCTCGAGTGCTTTTGAATAGTATACCGTATATACTGTATTTATTACCCTCCCTCAAATAGTTACCCCACCTGCTTTTATTACCCCCTTTAGCAAGAGATCGAAACAATAATTGCCCTCCCTCAAATAATTACCCCCTATTTTTTCTAAGCTAATGTTGAAAATATTTATTAAAAAACATTATGATTTTAACAATGGGCATTTTAAGGATCATATAAAAAATAAATCAAGAAAATAAAAGGATTTGGAGAGGATAACCCGGATACTTTTAATTTTTAAGCATTTAAGGATCAATATTCTGTCTTTAGTCATATTATAAGAAGTATATTTACAGAATGTAGGGAATATTCCCTAAATAGGAATCATACATACTTTTATACACATGACCATCGTGTCTTTATATCTCCCAGGGAGGAAGCATTGGTGTTATTGTACCGTATTGGGGTATATTATATATGAAAGTATTAAGGGAATAAAAAATATCTGTAAAAATTTACTAATATTTATCTCTGCATTCGGTAACATATTGTATATTACTGTTCATATCTTTACGATAAAATAAAAAATTTACAGGTCGAAATAATAATTGCCCTCCCTCAAATAATTACCCCACCTGCTTTTATTACCCCCTCCAGCGAGAGATCGAAACAATAATTACCCAGGGTAATTAATACAGTATATACGGTAGGATTAATTCACTACCCTCCTTCACACCATTTTAGAAAATCTACTTTATAAGTATATTAAGTAAAATTTGTCTTAATAAATTTTTATTTTGCAGTAGTTTTGAACGAAGTGCAGCGGCTCGCGAAGCGTGGTTTAATTGAGAAGAATAGGTATTAAAATAATTATAAACTTGAATTCAGGCATTAAAATATAATTTTTGTCCAATCATTATCTAAACTTTAATAAACTTTTAAAATTTAATTTTTTAAAGGACAAGGAAACAGATGATGGGAAGGTTAACCCGCATTAAAAAGGCGCAATTTCGCGGATTTCCTTTTCAATTTGTGGTACCAAATTTATCTCAGGTTAATTTAGTTATACCATATATTCTCTAATAATTACCCTTTCTCGAATAAAAAAACTCTCTAGCGAGAGATTGAAACAATAATTACCCAGGATAATTTTTGAGATTATTTGGCATTCATCAGGGATCAGAAAATCAAATTCCCGATTTTCGTGAATCCAACAAATATTATTTTTATTAAATATTTTTTGAGATAGGAAATTCTCTTTTAATTTAAATAAAAATTTTATTAAAAAAAGAATAATAAATTAAATTTAAGATCTATTCACAACACAATTTCTTATTTAACTGGCGTCCAGTTTTGCTTTTCTTGATGGCTTTAAATATTGGGGAAAGTTTTGAAGGGAAGTTTGGGGAAAATAATTTTAAAATTAAAAGGGGGATTTGGACTCCAAAAATTAAAAATTTAAAAAATAAAAGGGAAGTGGAAAAAGAATTTAATGAAGATTTTAATTTTATTAAGCAAAAAATTGAAGAGTTGGAATTAACTAATGAACAGATCTCTTTAATGGCTATTTTGTTACTTTTAAAAATTGAGGTAATTACTTGAAATTTAAAATAATATTACTGGGGGAAAATCTAAAATTAATAACAATTCTTTAAAAAAAATTTAAACTATTGTAAACTCTTATTTCAAAAAAATTTCACAAATTTAAATGAATATAAGATTTATAATATGTATAGCAAACGAGTGTAAAAAAAGTTTAGCTCCGAGAAAACACCGATATACCTCTTCTTATTTTAATGCTTTCAAGTAGGGTTGTTGGCGACCGGTTTCAAAAACACAATTTTTGAAATGAAATTTTTTGCCAAAAATTAACCTTCTTTAGGAAATTTTAAAACCCGGAAATTTGTGAAAATGAGTAATTTTATTAAAAATTCCCCAAAAATAAAGCCAGTATTTAACTAAAACCTATAGCCAAAAACTGGGTATCTAAAATTTGGATTACACGAAAACCGGGGGTACGAGTTAACAACCCTACTTCAACCTCTTTAAGTAAAACCTTATAGTAAGGGTTTTAAATGCTAACTAGCTTGATTCCCCGCTTCCTTAATTTATTTAAATTATTTTAATAAAAAATAAAATTTCTGATATAATTCTATAATATACATAGGTATTTATTCAAAACGATTTTTAAAAAATAAATTTATTATCGAAAGATTAATTTAACTAAATAAATTTCAAAGCAGTCTGATGATGTTTTGAGAGAAGTCCGACAGAAATTATATCACGGTCTTCTATCTTCAACATTAGATAATTTGTCCTCGGGTGAGTCAGAAGAATATAGGATTCTTCACTATTGGCCGGTAGTCTTGCTTCGTCTCGTACAATTAGAAAAGATGGCCGAAAAATATGTGGAAATTTTGGATTTTATGGGGATTAGCGGCGAGTTTAATTTTTTAAATTAAAAAGAAATTTTTTTAAAATTATAGGTAAAAATAATTTTAAGTTCATATCTAAGTAATTCTATTTGGTATCCAGGTTTCTTGGTTTAATTGAGACGGGAAGCTCTCATTTTTCGCAAAATGCTGGAATCTGTACGGTCCAATTCCGAATAGATTTTATAAAAATAAAAAGGTGCATAATTGTTCGGACCATTCAAAGGCCATCCAAAAATTAGGATAAAATTAAGAGGAGGCTAAAAGTAAGATAGGGGCAGATAATGATGCTATAATCAGGGCTGTTTAGAAACTAAAAAAGCTTCAAAAATCAAAGACCGAAATTGAATTATTTATATTCTCACGCAGTTATATATTTATATATTCTCACCTTGCTATAAAGGGTCAGAGATGTTTCGAAACAAAAAAATCTTCGAAAATCGAAATAAATTCAAAAATATCGAAATCGAAAATATTTTTCAAAATCTTCGAAATCGAAAATCGAAACAAAAATAACCTCGAAAAACGAAAATCGATGAACGAAAATCGAAAAAAATTTTTAAATGAAAAATAATTTAAAGGTAAAATATTTGTTATATACGTTAGGTCTCATTTGGAACTCCTTTAATTCTAAAAAATTAGAAGTAGGGACTAGTCGGTAGATCCTGGGAAATAACAGATATCCAAAATTCGAACACTAAATCCAAACCAAAAATAGGTTTGTATTATTGCTCCGGAACCGGGGATTTTCGGATCCGCTCCTTGTTGATCGGCTACAGCCCCTTAAAATTTCCCGATATCACTTAAGGTCCAACTTAATCCATCCAAAACTCAGATATATTCAATTTTACCTTTCTTGCGCCGCAGGCGAAAATTTTGATAATTTTGGAGGACCAAGTTACCGAAAATTTTGAGAATTTTGGAAGACCAAGTTACCAGAATACCACGTTACCGAAGACCAAGTTACCGAAAATTTTGAGAATTTTGGAAGACCAAGTTACCAGAATACCACGTTACCGAAGACCAAGTTACCGAAAATTTTGAGAATTTTGGAAGACCAAGTTACCAGAATACCACGTTACCGAAGACCAAGTTACCGAAAATTTTGAGAATTTTGGAAGACCAAGTTACCAGAATATTCGCAGGTTATATTTTTCCTTCATATGGAAATTTTTCTTTTATACAATTCACTTTTTTCCCTCTGGCATTTTCAATAAGAGACATTAATAAAGAAAATATTATTTTTTACTCAGTTTTTCCTTCAATTAATTTCCCCTAGAAAGGATGAAATCTGACCATTCTGTACGTATGAAGAAAAAATATAAAATATAACCCGCGAATACATGGGAGGGGTGTGGCAGAACCGAAAAGTACCAATTTCGAAAATCGAAAGGAAAAAAACCTCGAAAATCGAATAAATTTTTTTATTTTAGAGAGTATTTTTTTAAAATTCTATAAATGAAGTGATTATTTTTGAAGACATTAAAAATACAAAATTATTAAATAACTTTAATTTTTTTAAATAAATAAGGTTTAATTAATTTTTAATTAATAAAACTGAGAAAAAATTATGCCCGACATTTAATATATTTATTAAAATTTAAATTTTGAAATAATTTTTTAAATTATTTTAAGGATTTTTGTTTTTAAGAAATAATTTGAATAAATTTTAAAGTAAAATATTGAAGTTTATAAAGATATTATTTTTTAAAATACATTTGAATGGAGTATAGTTTGGTATGTTTTGTTAAGTTTATTATTAAATGGCTAAAAAATTTTTTTTGGCCAAATTAAAAACAAACATTCTCAAAAAAGGTTTTTCTTTTATTATTTAAAAGAAAATTCTCTCTTTTAATTTATTTGTTCAGCAAAAGCTTTATTGGAAAAAATTTTTGCTAAATTTGGAAAATAAAATCAAAATCAAAAATCAATTCAGAGAATTATTAAAATTATTTATAAGAGATAAAGCTATTGTTTTTAAAGAAATAAAATACAAAAATTATTAAATAATTTTGACTTTTTTTAAATAAATTATCAAAAGGTACGTAAAAGTTATCTAAACAATATCCTAAATATATAGAAAATATGGATGGCGATTAATCGAGTTAATGACTTTTTATTGTCAAATAGAATGTTGTTAAAAGACACAAAAAATATTTTTAAAGATTATTTAATTAAAAGAGAATTGGGGGATAAAAGGAATGTTTTTAATAAAGATGAACAAATTTGGTTTCGTTATGTGGAAGATAAACTTCAAAAAAATTTTAAGAATGAAGATGGAAAATCCAAAATAATTGAAGTTCATAAATTTTGGTGGAATACATAAAGAATCAAAAAATAAATAAAAATTAAAACTCATAAATTCAGTAATTCAAGAAAAAATGACAAAAAATGGAAAAATAAAACAATTAAAGAATTAACTTTTGAATTATGTCAATAAACAATTTATGTATTTTTCAATCCCTTTCTTTAATATGTACTCAAAATAAAAATTAATTTCAAATTTAATTAATTCACAATTACTAAATCTTTATTATTTTTCATAAAATTTTATACTTTATTTTAATATTAAAATATTTTAATAAAGTTAATTAAATATTTAAGATATTTTAAATTATTTAAATTTATTAAAATTTATGTCTATATTATTAAAATATTTATTAATTTTTAATATACTTAGTGTTTTCTCAACTAATTCCCTATGCCAAGGAAGGGTTAAACAAAAATTCCCCATTGGAAATATCGAGAAAAATCGGTATTATTTATCGGTATTATAATAAATCGGTATTATAATCGAGAAAATTTTATTATTTAAAAGAGAAATTCTCTCTTTTAATTTATTTATTCAGCAAAAGCTTTATTGGGAGTTAATAAAAAAATTTTTCTATTGAATTCAAACTTGGAAGTGATCTTGAAATTTAAAAATTAGAAGATAATTACTTTCATGTATACCCTAAATTCCAAATATTATTTTAAATTAGTACCAATCGACTCGGCACGAAGAGGAGATTCGATCTTAGGTTGAAATTTCACTTGGAAGTTAACTTAACTGTGAAAAACATCGATTTATTATCTAGTTCGTTAATCATCATTCAAAACCCCATATCTCAACTATGGCAAAAACAATTATTATTAAAAGCAAATTATATTATTCTTTTTTTGTTTAAACAAAAATATATTTCGAAATCAACTATATATTTTTGTATCTTTGATTTGACCTTTAATTTGTATCTTCGATTTTTATCTTTGATTTTCTTTAATATTGCCGAAATATTTTAAAATTTATGTCTATACATAAATAAATAAAAGTGCAAATAAATTAGAATAAATATGAGGAAAAAATTTTAATCTGACGTAATTTAACTTAAATTTTTAAACAATTTAACAGTAAATTTAAAGTTAAAACGGCACTATTCGGTTATCTCCCACCATTTTATTTTTCTTCTCGATTTTCCGAATTAACTTTTTTATGCTTGATCAAATCCGAATGAAAATTATATATCATTCGAAAGCCCTCAATGAGAGGCTCTTGAAGTATCATGTCTGATCGCGATTAAGAAGTGATAACTGTGAAAAACTTCTAGACTTCTAATATTTTACTGAACGATCAGACTAGATCCATCCAGTTGGAATAAAGATAGCGCTCATCGAGGGCTTTTAAATTATTTAAAATTCGTGAATTGGATCGAGTATAAAAAATTATAGCCTATTAAATTCGGGAAAGGAGAAGAAAATTAAAATGCTGGGAGATAACCGAATAATACAGTTAACAAAAACTTTTTTATTATTTCAAAGCAAATTTTTTTTAATTTTCAATGTCAATGTCAACAAAAATTTTATTTTTCATTCAATTTATTTTTCCAATATTTTTAAATTCTCTGGCAAATGAACAGAAAAGTCAACGATTCCGATTTTATTATTTTGATCGTAATTTCTCCGATCATTACAAAATAAAAAGAATAAACATAAATAATTTTGATTTGTCTGTTGAATTGGAATGTTCTTTACCGGAAATAGATTGTTCTGATCTTTATATAAAATTAAAAAGACAAATTAATTTTGTTGACACCAATGACCATTCTTTTGCAGAAAAGCTTAACAATGGGTTAACGAAGATTCATTTTAAAACTGAATCTAATAAATTTCGCGAAGGAATTATGATTGGGCTCCGAAGAGCAAGAAGGGTAAGCAAAGAATAATATACATAATATATTATCAAACAAAAAATAATATTTTTAGAATATTATGCAAATAGAGCCTTTCTTTCATAAAAATATTAATTTCGAACCTGAAGAAGAGGAAGAAGAAAATAAAGAGTTCCGATTAACTAAATTTGAATGGAATCTGAATTTTGAAAAAGACTATGATAGTCATATAAATATTTGTTTTAAAGCCAAAAATAAGGGAGAATATTTTATTTATGTTATATTATATTCTCCTACGATTATAAAATTTTTTGTCAAAATTGAAGGAGAGAAAGAAAAATGCGTGTTTGGGAAATTTAAAATTAATTCAGAAAATTTGAAGAATTTTTTTGAGGAATTAAAAGAATTTGTTTATGTTTTTGCTTTCAAAACTAATGATGAGACAAACTTTGAAGACGGACAAATGATTATTGAATTAACAGATTCTGACCAAATTTTTTTCAATGGGACTAATCTTTTAAGTTTAGGTCCTTTATTTGATGATGGAAGTTATGAAATTTACTTTGACAAAAATGGAAAGATTAATGACTTTTTATTGTCAAATAGAATGTTGTTAAAAAATTCAAAAAATATTTTGAAAGATTATTTAATTAAAAGAGAATTGGGGGATAAAAGGAATGTTTTTAATAAAGATGAACAAATTTGGTTTCGTTATATGAAAGATGATATTCAAAAAAATTTTAAGAATGAAAATGGAAAATCTAAATTAATTGAAGTTTACAAATTTTGATGGAAAGCATAAAGAACCAAAAAAATAAATAAAAATGAAAATAAACATTCATAAATTCAATAATTCAAAAAAATGCAAAAAATGTAAAAATAAAAACAATTAAAAAATTAACTTTCGAACTATCCTTCATTTCAATAAATCTTTTTTTTTTCTTCAATTTTTTTTCATTAAAATAAAAATTAATTTCAAATATAATTATAATTCCTAATTACTAAATCTTTATAATTTTTCATAAAATACATATTATAATTTATTTTATTATTAAAACATTACAATAAATTTAATTAAAATATTTAAGATTTTTAAATATAAATTGTATTTTTCTTGCATATTTGCGTGTATATTTTGTGTTTCTTGCATATTTTAGTGCATATTTTGACAATTTTTTACGCATATTATAGTGCATATTTTGCATTTTTTAATGCATAAAATTCACAGCTTTGAGGAAATAAGTCCTCTCGATATTTCCTCAAAACCTGATCCCACTATCATCGATATCCCTTAATCGTCTTTCTGTTATCAAAATCGACCGATATATCAGTTAATTACTCCAAATATCCCTTAATTCCTCAAATTCTTTAAATTTTAGAATTATTCAGTGCCTGATGTACATATACATATTTATATGTAATATTTTTTGATGCATTTTAATTAGATAAAATTTAATGGAAATTTTTGGATGAGAAATTTAGCCATAAACCGGTTTCGGTTAACTAAAAACCGGGGGTCCCTCAAAAACCGAAACCGAAAACAGGGGGTCGTAAACCGGTCATAACCGAAACCCGAGGTACCAGTTTTTAGCCGGTCGCCAACAACCCTAGTTTTAAGGAGTGTAGGAATGGTGATTTTCGGCTTTAAATTATCTTCTTCCTTCTGCATTCTTTTTCTATTATTTTTGTTAAAAAAGAATGACAGCCACTTTTATTTTCTCTTAAATTTATATCTAAAAATCCATGTTTTTTCCAACTCTTTTCATCACATGCTTAATTCTTCTCTCATCTCTTTTTAAGTTTATGTTTATATGAGAGAACAGAAATATTTTTAACATCCTTTTAATTTGAAAGGCTTTTTGAGGGAAATTTTTATTTAAAAAATTTAAAAATTAAAATTCCTTCTCTTTCATTTCTTTTTATTATTGTCTACGTGAATATAAAATCGATTATAATTATTATTTATTTCCACCCTCTCCCCCATTAAAAAAATTAAAAAAAAATTATTTTTAATTTAAAAAATAATGTTAATTTATATTCATTTAATTTTTTATTTTTCTTCAAATAATTTTTGTTTATTTTCTTCGTTTCGTCGAATTTTAATTAAAATATTTTTAATTATAAATATTTTTAAAATACCTTCAACTTCTCCATTAAATAATTTTGAAAATCAAAAAATACTATTTTCTCTTGAAATTAGCGATTTAAAAATTAAACAATTTATTTCTCAATTATATAAAGAAAGTTTAAAATTAGATGTTTTTGTTAACTTTCAAGGACATACAAATAATGTCGATAGAATTGACCGAGCTAAAGAACCGTGAGATTTGATTCAATTTTTTAATTTTTTCCCCAATCAAAGATAAATTTAAATTGAAAATCCAGTAAGAGTGAGAGTTAAAAAGATTTAGTCCTGGAAGGCATAGATTCCGCGACCTCCTGGCATTTATTTGCTAGGCTACATTACCGATAGAGTTATCGTGGGTAACTACTCAATACTCAAGCACTCGGCCCTGCTTTCACCTCCCTTTTAATAAATATTCAATTGTGTTTTATATACTAGCCAGCTGGCCTAATATGTATGTACTAGCCTTATTCCTTGCAAGCAGTTTATTTTTTTGTAGTTTTTTTGGACATGGAATTTCTCAAAATCCACATGAAAATAAGTTTGAAAATACCCATTTTTGGGCCGAAAATATTTTAAAACGACAATTTATCAATATTAGGTAATTCCATATGTTTTGGGGTACTCAAGCACTCTTTTCAGCTCAAATAGATTTGTAATTAAAGTTTTAGCGAGTGATAATGTTTTGTGGAGATATTGAGTGATAGAAGAATTTTTTTCTAAATCCGCAGATATCACCTATATTCCTCCAGATCCACCGATACTATAGAAAAAGTTGAAAGTTCAAGCCTTGTTAGAAGTCAGATTTTTTAGATAATTTATAGTCCTTTAAGTATCCAACTTTTTGTCTAAAATTAAAATCCCTTTACTTTAATTTTAAATAAAAATTTTCTTTAGCCTTTTTCGTGATGTTAATTTAACAAAAGTTTTGTTACTTTCTGAATCTGTTCCAAAATTGTTGAAACTTTACGATAATTGTAAATATTCTTTATTTATTTAAATAAATTTTCCTTTAAATTAAAAAGATGAGCCATTTACTGGGCGGCCAGAAATTGAAACAATTGAAGAAAAAAATGAAATTAAGGATTTTCTTGATGTAATAATTAAATCCAGACCGATGGATATGCTCTATACATTTTTAAAGAGTAAAGGTGTTTTTTAAAGATTTTCTCTAAATTCTCTTTTAAGTTTTCTCAAATTTTTCTCAATAATGATTGTTTCTTTAAAAATATCCGTTAATTACCCTTTAAAGTGTTTTTAATAAATCCCAAAATTTGAGAATTTTTGGCTAGATATTAACCAGTTTCTGATCTTTTATAAGTTTGTTATCGAAAACGAGGAGTAAATCCCCTCCATAAACGTGGTTGGATTCCTAATTTGATTCCTAATTCCCTCCTAACTTTGCCTAAAATCACCCAATCTTGAATTTAAGATCATCCAATCGCTAAAAATCAATCAGTCTTTCGTCACTCGTTAGAACAATTATGGTTTGGGCAATATTCTCGTTCTTTGGGGCAACCAGATTCTTCTGGATTTGAACATGTTTTTATTGGAGAAGTTTCTTTTTATTTTTATAAATTAAAAAAATTAATAATTAAAGTTCAAACAAGGCATAGTTTCTGGCCTTCACAATTGGATAAGATTTTTATATTTGGAGAAGAATAAAAATAATTTTCATTTTGACTATAAAGGATATTTAATTAAACGAGGGGTTTTTAATAAATATTTTTTAAATAATTAAAAAAATTTTTTTAAAGAATATTTTTGGAGTAGTAAAATTCAGTTGGGAAGATTTAATGAAACCTGCAGGGTCTTTTCTTATTGGAACAACACCAGACTTTGAATTTGCTTTGTATACATTTTGTTTTTTATCGAGACGTTTAAATGGAAAGGGGAAAAATTGCAATGTTAGTTTGAATTAGTGAATGGCGCTCGACATGCCCGGACGGATTTTTCCGGAGTTTTTGGTCCCAAACCCGAGTTTTTCCATTATTTACGGATTCTTTCCGGAATGGATTAATCCAGAAAAATTTTAAAAAATCAGATCAGACTCAGGAAAAATCGACTTGTAAATCTAATTTTTCTCAAAAATCTTTTGTATATTTTCAGTTCGAACTTGATGGATGTCAGTTTACTTTAATTAGCTATGAATTGGTTCAACAAGGCCGTCTTTTTATTGGTTCGATGTATCCAAGTGCTGGGCAAATGACAAATGAATGTCGTCGCAGCAGGGATTTATTTACTTGAACAATACAAGAATTAAGATTTATATATTTTCATATACAATATATGTATTTACATGTTTTTAGTTAATAATTTATTGATGACAAAAAAAATAAAAATATTTATAATTCCGATAAATCAAACTTTTTTTTCTCAAATTCTATTTTTTCATATTGATTCTAATTCTGAAAGTCGAAATATCACTGGCAGTTTCTGCAAAAACAAAACACACTTTTGGGTTGAAAATATTGGTAATTTGATAATTTGTATATTTAACACCATTTAATTGCTCAATTTCAACTTTTTCTGCTCTCTCGCTTAATTTAATATTTGCTGAAATATGGAAATCAAAAATAATTTCAGGCACCATTTTCAAACAGTCTCTAGATGTTGCTATATACTTAAATTTTGAATCTATTTTTAATCTAATTTGTAAATATAACTCACTTCAACAATAAGATAATAAAGCAAGGATATATTTAAAGAATAATCCAACTTGTCTAAAAACGCATAAAAGCTCAAATGAAATTTTCCCAAAATATTTCCTTTTGTCAAAATTTTGAATAAAATATTTATATATTTTTCCATGTGTCTATCTTGAAATAAATTTAATATAAGAGTTTCATTAATTAAATGTTTCAAAGTAAATTGAAGTAAATTTTCAATATTGTGAGGAATTCTAGACTGATTGAATATTTGAATATAAAATTGTTTAGCATTTCCAAATAATAATTGAATCAATTCTGGATTGAATATAAATTGTTGTAAGGAAAAATATTCAAAAGAACAACTAAATAATTTATTTAAATAATAATAAACAATTTTGACATCATTTTTGCTTTTAATGATGGTTGGTAGTCGAAGTAAAAAATATTCATTAATGTTGCTAGGTTCTAATCCTAGGTTAAAAGAGGATTTAGATTTCCCAAATAAAAATTGATGCGACTCAAAATAAATGGTACTTTTCCGTTATCCCTACAGACTTTTGCGGACTTTTTATTGGACATATTTGAGTTCCTTTCTTTATCATTATATGACATAAGTCTTTCTCCCTTCCTTAATTTCACTATTTCCCGGTAGCATCATTCAATAAGAAAATTAATAAAGAAGTTTAATTTTTTGTCAACAAATCACTAGAATCGTGTCAGGCTGAAACGCGAAACAAACAAAGGACCGTGTTCTGTCCGACAATATTGTCTGGATTTTATTTGATTTCAGACAATTCAATCTCTCATTGAATGCCACAGGGTAGTGTGAAATTGAGGAAGACTATTTATGTGTCCGCAAGTCTGTAGGGATAACGGAAAAGTGCCAAATAAATTATTGAACAAAACTTAACCTTTAGTCAAGCATATAACTATATCCTTATCCAAATCTTTCTTAGGTAAATATAACGAAATTCGTTTTTCAAGTCCACCCCTCCACTAAAAAGGAATTATTTACATATTTAAATGCTCAAATTTACCTTCTTTTCAAATTGTTTATCCAATGGAAAGTCAAAATTCGCAGTTTTAAGGGTAACTAAATATCGACGAGGTCCTTTGAATCGTTCGAAACAATCCTTAATTAAACTTAAAAATTGAAATTAGTTGAAAACATTACAATATTTATTTCCTTAAATTTCTCCCGAGCAAGTTCTCCTTGAAATTTGTTAATAAACTCATAAAAATATAGATTTGTTTGGTTGATTGAACGTAATTCTTTATAACTGAGGAATTTAAAAATATCAAGTTTTGTTTCTACTGGTAAAGAATAAAACATTTTTTTAAGAAAATTTAAATGAAGAATGCTTAAAAATAATATTAAAATGTGCCTAAAAATATTTAAAAATAAATTGGCAGACATTAAACTGTTAAAAATGAGATGCAAAAAAATTTTTAAAAATAATTTAATTGAAATTCAATGAAAAACAAAAATAATAAAAAAATAAATTAATCTTCTTGAATATTCAAAATATTATTTTCATCTAACCAATAATTATTAAAACGTTTTTGACAAATATTTAAACCATTTTCTTCGTATTCTGAACGAGTCACCGTTTTGGAAGCAAAATTCCAAGTGTCAAAAGATTCTCCACTTTTATCGGAAAAAATATTATTAGCACAATTCCAGGCATGTGCTATTGGATTTGGGGCAAGTAAAACTTCTAATGGAAATGTTTCATCAACAGAACAACGTAAATCTGTTAGACTGAGAATTATGGAAATTATTTAAAAATGTAAAAGTAGAAGAATATTGTTTGCTACAAAAGTTAAAAAGGCCCCATACCCCCTGACTACGGGTCTGATAGGTAATTGGTTTCAAACCAAAGCGAAAATTTTCCGTTCAGTTAACCGAAGAATTTTTAGAAACCAACGACCCCATTACTATATAAGGGCATTGTTCCTTAATATATGACAAAAGATTCCATTTGTCAATGTATCTTAGGAGTGTAATCCTAGCTTACGGGAGATATTTTAGTCGATGTTTTCCTCGCACATCTGTTACGTTTTTAAATTAATAATACCCCCCCCCCCTCCCCCACCCTTACTAAAAAATTTTGTAAAAAATTTTTATTTCTCTTACATCCTCTCAAGATAACCAGCAAAAAGTGAATTTCCTCCAATTAAAACAATATTTGCAGCCATTAATAATTGAATTTCTACAAAAAATATTTTAAAAATATTTTGGGAATTCAAGAAAACCTTTAGGGAATTTAGATAAACAATTATTTATTGCTTCAACTATTCCCATTTGTCCAATTTCTACATCACTAGGATTAAATAAAAGTTCGGTAAGTGCAAAACGTTCAACGCCCAATGAAAGTTTTTGTGTGTTTAAATGTTTTTGAGACAAAATTGATGATTTTGGATTGAATATCTAAATTTAAATGAAAATTATTAAAAAAAAAAACTTTTTTGGATTTATTAGAAAGCTTTTTAAAAATTTTGAAATTTTTTTCTCTAAGGAAAGATATAGGATATAATTCATTCTTTTGATTTATTATTTCTGATTATCCTGATTCGTCGAACTTCTATTTAGCAAATTCCGCGGATGTATTTTAACGAGAGAATTTTAAATAGATGTATGTAGAAGAGAAACAATGCTATAGAATATTAAATAATTAGATGATTTTATGATTTAGTGAAATTATGACGAGAGAATTTTAAAAATATGTATGTAGAAGAGAAACAATGCTATAGAATATTAAATAATTAGATGATTTTATGATTTAGTGAAATTATGACGAGAGAATTTTAAAAATATGTATGTAGAAGAGAAACAATGCTATAGAATATTAAATAATTAGATGATTTTATGATTTAGTGAAATTATGACGAGAGAATTTTAAAAATATGTATGTAGAAGAGAAACAATGCTATAGAATATTAAATAATTAGATGATTTTATGATTTAGTGAAATTATGACGAGAGAATTTTAAAAATATGTATGTAGAAGAGAAACAATGCTATAGAATATTAAATAATTAGATGATTTTATGATTTAGTGAAATTATGACGAGAGAATTTTAAAAATATGTATGTAGAAGAGAAACAATGCTATAGAATATTAAATAATTAGATGATTTTATGATTTAGTGAAATTATGACGAGAGAATTTTAAAAATATGTATGTAGAAGAGAAACAATGCTATAGAATATTAAATAATTAGATGATTTTATGATTTAGTGAAATTATGACGAGAGAATTTTAAAAATATGTATGTAGAAGAGAAACAATGCTATAGAATATTAAATAATTAGATGATTTTATGATTTAGTGAAATTATGACGAGAGAATTTTAAAAATATGTATGTAGAAGAGAAACAATGCTATAGATTATTAAATAATTAGAATTCCTCGGATGTTGATCATTTCTTTTGATTTATTATTCCTGATTATTCTGATTCGTCGAACTTCTATTTAGCAAATTTCTCGGATGTTGATCATTTCTTTTGATTTATTATTCCTGATTATTCTGATTCGTCGAACTTCTATTTAGCAAATTTCTCGGATGTTGATCATTTCTTTTGATTTATTATTCCTGATTATTCTGATTCGTCGAACTTCTATTTAGCAAATTTCTCGGATGTTGATCATTTCTTTTGATTTATTATTCCTGATTATTCTGATTCGTCGAACTTCTATTTAGCAAATTTCTCGGATGTTGATCATTTCTTTTGATTTATTATTCCTGATTATTCTGATTCGTCGAACTTCTATTTAGCAAATTTCTCGGATGTTGATCATTTCTTTTGATTTATTATTCCTGATTATTCTGATTCGTCGAACTTCTATTTAGCAAATTTCTCGGATGTTGATCATTTCTTTTGATTTATTATTCCTGATTATTCTGATTCGTCGAACTTCTATTTAGCAAATTTCTCGGATGTTGATCATTTCTTTTGATTTATTATTCCTGATTATTCTGATTCGTCGAACTTCTATTTAGCAAATTTCTCGGATGTTGATCATTTCTTTTGATTTATTATTCCTGATTATTCTGATTCGTCGAACTTCTATTTAGCAAATTTCTCGGATGTTGATCATTTCTTTTGATTTATTATTCCTGATTATTCTGATTCGTCGAACTTCTATTTAGCAAATTCCGCGGATGTATTTTAACGAGAGAATTTTAAATAGATGTATGTAGAAGAGAAACAATGCTATAGAATATTAAATAATTAGATGATTTTATGATTTAGTGAAATTATGACGAGAGAATTTTAAAAATATGTATGTAGAAGAGAAACAATGCTATAGAATATTAAATAATTAGATGATTTTATGATTTAGTGAAATTATGACGAGAGAATTTTAAAAATATGTATGTAGAAGAGAAACAATGCTATAGAATATTAAATAATTAGATGATTTTATGATTTAGTGAAATTATGACGAGAGAATTTTAAAAATATGTATGTAGAAGAGAAACAATGCTATAGAATATTAAATAATTAGATGATTTTATGATTTAGTGAAATTATGACGAGAGAATTTTAAAAATATGTATGTAGAAGAGAAACAATGCTATAGATTATTAAATAATTAGATGATTTTATGATTTAGTGAAATTATGACGAGAGAATTTTAAAAATATGTATGTAGAAGAGAAACAATGCTATAGATTATTAAATAATTAGAATTCCTCGGATGTTGATCATTTCTTTTGATTTATTATTCCTGATTATTCTGATTCGTCGAACTTCTATTTAGCAAATTTCTCGGATGTTGATCATTTCTTTTGATTTATTATTCCTGATTATTCTGATTCGTCGAACTTCTATTTAGCAAATTTCTCGGATGTTGATCATTTCTTTTGATTTATTATTCCTGATTATTCTGATTCGTCGAACTTCTATTTAGCAAATTTCTCGGATGTTGATCATTTCTTTTGATTTATTATTCCTGATTATTCTGATTCGTCGAACTTATATTTAGCAAATTTCTCGGATGTTGATCATTTCTTTTGATTTATTATTCCTGATTATTCTGATTCGTCGAACTTCTATTTAGCAAATTTCTCGGATGTTGATCATTTCTTTTGATTTATTATTCCTGATTATTCTGATTCGTCGAACTTCTATTTAGCAAATTTCTCGGATGTTGATCATTTCTTTTGATTTATTATTCCTGATTATTCTGATTCGTCGAACTTCTATTTAGCAAATTTCTCGGATGTTGATCATTTCTTTTGATTTATTATTCCTGACCTTTTTTTCTTATTTTTTTAAATTAAGAATAAAAGATGAAAAAACTCACTTCCCCTCTCATTAATGTTACAAAATCAGGCAGTAAGTAATCCAATCTTTTAGACCTCCAATTTTTCATATCCTCTTGGAAATCTGTAGAGACAAAACAAACATCTTCTTTACACTTAAATTTAAAAAATATTTCTTTCAAATTTTTATTTAATTAAAATTCTTACACAATTAATTACATAAGTTTCGTCAGTAACATTTAATTGCCTATAAGAAATCCAATCTTTTAATTGATTTGTAAGAGCTTTGCCACCAACATCGATTCTAAATAATAATTCGAATATAAGGCATATTATAAAAAAATTGGACAGATAGTTGACGTCGTTAATAGTTAAAAAACTGGCGGAACTACCAGATTAATTTACTCAATATCCACTGATCCTGTTTGTCTTCTATCCTTCCTAAAAGTAACCCAATAGAGCTAAATTATGTATGTACTGTTAGACTCACATGCGTCGGATGAGCCTTAATTTGTTATTTGCTCTCCTAAATGGAAAATGGGGGAAAGAAGGGGGTAACTAAAGTAATAGTCCGAAATTAAAATTTTTTAATGGAAAATAGTGGGAGGAACTATAAATAATCCCAAAAAATTTTCTTACAATTTTTAAATGTTAAAAAATAATTAAAACCTCAAAACTCCATTTTTTGCAATTTTTCCTTGAATATATGGAACGATATGAGTAAAAGAATGTCTTAAAATAAATTGTTAAATCATTCTTAAATTTAAAAAAATACCCAGAATCAACAATAATACAACAAGGATTTTCAAAAGAACAATGAATTTGGGCAGTCAAAGAAGGGGCTAAATAAATAAAATAAAAATTAGAAAATAAAAAAATAACCAGAGGTTCTAATTAAAGAATGAAAACAATAATTCTCAAAAATTATTTCTTCTGTGTTGTCTTCAGAAAATGCTCTGAAAAATTAAAAATTTTAGTAAAAATAAATTAAAAAATTTTAATTTAAAAAATATTTTCGATCCTATAGAAAAATTTAAATTTAGAAAATTAAAAAATAAAAAAAATTAAAAATTTTCATAAGATGGCTTATACACACGACAATTGCGGATGTATAGTTAGAGAAATAAAATTTAAAAATAAAAAATATTAAAAAGCCTGACTTGGAGACCTGCCGGTTGGCACCAGGGATCTGGTCGACATAAAAAAATAAATTGGCTATTTTTTTCAATTCCCGATTTTCGAAAGCGGGTCGGCTAGAACCCTGGTTGGCATATGTATATAGCCTAAATTTCATACAATCTTATAACCCTTAAAAGTTTCCAAAACAAATTTTTGGATTATGACCAGGGAATATTTAATTTTTTAAAATTTGTACCCATAATTGTCATCTCCACTAAAGTTGCCGTTTTCGAGTCGGGCCAACGGTTGAGGCATTTTTTCGGGCCTAACTTTATCGAGTCGGGCCTATACGAGTCTTTTTCGAGCCAAATATCTTAGGCCCGACTCGATCATTCGGTCTGACTCGGTCCATTTTGGCAACCCTAAACTCCACAATCCGTTCGAAAAAATTAAAATTTCAATTAAAAAATAACCTCGAAATATCAGAAGGATCAGTCAAAATTATTCTACAATTTTTATAGTCTACATTTAAAATATCCTTTCCAAACAATTTATTCCAAATTTGTAATTGTGTATCCCAATTAACTTTAAAAAATATTTTAGAAAAATAATTTAATTTAAAAAAATAACCTAAATATCCGCGCTCAATTGGAAGGGAAAAATACAAAGAAGTTTTATCAGACAATTGTTCAATTTCATCGGCTATATAAACACGTTTTTTGTCAAATTTGGATTTAATTATGGCATTTGGAAATAATCTAAATTTGAATTTTAAAAAAGATTTTGACAAAAGGAGGTTAAGAAAAAATTAAAAAATGTCGGAAAAAGTAAAGGAAAAATAAAGAAACATATTAAAATAATTTTAGACCTAAAAAAGCTTCGGAAGTCGCCCTCCCCTTATCCTGACCTTGCTCTCCACCCTCGCCCTCTCCCCTTTTCCCTGACCATTTTGAGCTTTATTGCTTGATTTATAATTTATTGTCATTCAAAAGAGCTCGTGAAGCTGGGCCGAATGATACTCTAATCAATTAGATTTGATGATTATGGACAAAATTATGAAGCTGAACCATCGATAGATAAACATTTTGTGATGATGCTAGGGCAAAATGGTCATAACATTATTTTATAAGTCAGATTTCGTTTATTTTAGTGACCCAAAAAATGAAAATAGGAAAAAAAGGAAGGGGGCGACTTTCGAAAAAATAAAAAAAATAATAAAAAAATCTTAACTTTTCATCACAAAAATTATTTTTAAATTTAATAAATTAACCTCGAATTAGAACCTGCATATCCAATTTTAATATTAAAACAACCATTGTCCAAAATCAAAGTTTCAGGAGACATTATATAAAATATATTGATTTCTAAATTGTTTTAAAATTATAAATGATGGAAAAAATATTAAATAAGAATACTTGAATATTAAAATTATTAAAAATTAAAACGAAAATATTTAAATAAAGCTTTTATCAATTTTAAATAATATAAATATAAAATAAACAGATAAAAACTAAAAATGACTGTATTAGTGTAGGAGCAAGGGATTTTGCGAGAATACCCGTCCGCAATTCCATGTACCTTCAATGCATGTCCATGTACTTTTGTGGAAGAATCTTGCAAAATAGTCCGAAATTTTTTTTTATAAAAATCTACTAATTTATTTTTAAAATGTTTAGTCCCGTCCATCCGATTTAGCCTGAATATTTGAAAATGAAAGATTGGATTGTCCACTTTCTTCAGAAAATTGAGGGAGTGTCTAAAAAATAAATTGAATTTTATTGCTTGAAGGTATTCTAGAACGACTGGATTAACACTGAATTTATATTTTAAATATTTTTGTGAACGTCGATGCGTTTTTGATTAAATTTCTAGCTACATATACTTTACAAAAAAATATCCGGTTTTTAACAAAAAAAAATTAAATTAAAAACCTTCAATGTATGTCCATGTACTCTAAATCGATAAAGACATGTCACATAAGAGCCCCAATTTATAAAAGTCTCCAATAATATTTGTTAAATGCTGATCCGAATGCTTTAAAAATTTTTATTTTATCGAAAATTATTTTAAATTAACCTGAACATAAAATATTTTAAAGGATCTCCATAAGCATCAAAAGTAAAGTTACCCAATAATTTACGAGAATAAATGTCGTCAATATCTTGATAACTCTAAAATTTAACAAAAATCATTTCAGTCATTTTTTTATCTAAATACCCAAACGAGGAAATTCTTAGGTGCTGTACTGATATGTCCATCAGGTGATAATTCAATTGGCAAATGTTCGTATGAAACAGCTGTAACATTGATACGATCAGATAATCCAATAGTTAAAAATCCATGCCCTCCATAAAATGCCCAACATTCACCGGCAGAGGCTCCATAACCTTTTCTCTAAAGAAATTTTGAAAATTATTTTTTGGAACAAAATCAGGGGTATATTCAAGCACGAAAATCGTCGACTCCGGTAGGTCTAAATAATGTCATAACTTCGTCAAATCTTGTCCGATTTCGTTGATTTTGGTGTCATTCGACTCAGCTCGACGAGCTCTTTCGAATGAGCTATCATTTGGGTAAACTTTTTTTATTTCGAAAAATCACCCCCATGGTTGTTCAATTTTCAGGGGTCTGTATTTCGGTCAAATCAAGTCGGATTTTGTTGATTTTGGTGTCATTCGACACAGCTCAATGGGTTCTACAATTGTTGTTCAGACTGACCATTTTTACATAATTTACAAAAAAACTGGCTGGGGGTGGGAAACTAAATAAGTACCAAAATTACATTTGGTATAATTTAATAAATTTCTGGTTCCCTGAAAATTGGATAAATTTTTTACAAAATCAGGCTTCTAGACTTTTCTGGTTTGCCCATCCAAAAATCAAAAAAAAATAAAGAAAAAAAAGTAAAATAAGCCTGATAATGTGATAGCACAAAATCGTCCAAATTGAGGGTATCGCACGGATAGGCAGCTCCCCTCCCCCCAGTGGCCAACAAAAATTTAGAAACTACTTGAATGACAGTTCTTGGACTATAACTTGCAAACCAAAGTGGAATACCAAAAAGTTTTTGTGTTCTAGACCTCTCATTATATTGAACAGGGCAACGAGTACTTAATAGAGATCCACCTAAAAAATAAAAAAATAATCTGGTTAAAAGCATTTAAATTTACCAGAACTTTCTAAAGCATAATCAAAATTTTTAGAAAAATATTTTGTTTTTCAATCTGGCCAGGCGTAGAAGTGAATCTTCGACAAAGTCTTGGATGTATATATTCTCTACTTCCATTTGGTTTATACGAATAAGTATAAGAGTAAGTATAATCAGTTTCATAAGGACTTAAAAAAAATAAAAATTAATGCCTTATTTCAAAGCAAAAAACCTTTGCAAAATTTCGTCAATTTTTTCTTTCGTAAGGCGAGATGCTGCTCTGTTTTGAGTTGATGTTGATGGAGAGAAACTTCTAAAAAATATTTTATTTAAAAATATTAAAAGTTAAAATTAAAATACAATCGTCTGTAAGCGTTGGAAACATCCATTTTAATTTAGAAATTTAATTAAACTTTAGCAGAACATTTTATTGAGACTAGAATCTGACAAGACAGAAAATTTTCTTTATAGAAAACCCGAGCGTTTTGAGCTATGCCCAGCTGTATCCAAAAAATTTATTCTCAAATTTAATAATTAACCTTGCATTGAAATTGCATATCCAATTTTATGTCTAAATTAATGTTAGAAGTAGAGACCGGCAAAATCGCGTTTGCGTGATCCCGCATGCCGGATTTTTTTAAAAATATGTGTGGGACGGGATCCCACGAGATAAATCCCGCATCCCGCAAATCGAAAAAAGTGCAGGATTGCGGGACAGGATCCCGCAAAATCCCGCGCGGGATCCTGTCCCGCTCCTGTCTCTAGATAGAAGAGCATTCTCAAGCCAAATTCTCAAATAGCATTTCGATGAATTGAGTATTTTTACTCTGCTAGACATTTTGAGATGAGACGCTTTGGTGGCGGGACATTTTGAGTAGTGCGCGGCAAAATCATTTTTCCGGGTCCGGAAACCGGATTTTGGATTTCTCACTCATGCCGGACCGGATCCGGCCGGATTTTTCCGGATTAATCCGGTCCGGGGTAATCTTCAGCTTTACTGGTCCCTAGAAAAAAATGTGGTAAAGTACTTTTTCGATATTTTTGGGGTCTGCCAGTAGGTAATCGAGTGTGCTGAGTCCAAATATGGGCTTAGAATTTGTTTATTTCGGACCTCGGACCCGAATTCGACTAGTCGAATTCGGGGTAAGAATTCGAAACTATTAGGCTAACGCTATTCTGACCCATCTCTTCAAGCTGATTCGAATGATATCAAAATTATTGTGTTTCGACAACTTTAGACTAAGTTATGATTAATTAAATACACGCTTGGTTAGACTTCCGTATATAAATCAAACACCATAACTTAGTCTAAAGATGTCGAAACGTAATAATTTTGATACCAAACGACTCAGCTTGAAGAGACTAGTCCGATTAGGCATAAAATTTGAAATTTCGAATTTTTACCCATGTTAGACATGGTCGAATTCGGGTCCGGGGTTCGAAATAAACAAATTCTAAGCCCATATTCGAACTCAGCAAACTCGATTACCTACTGGAATGCTCAAAAATGTCAAACTAGCACTTTTTCCTTATTTTTTTCTAGGGACCAGTAAAGCTGAAGATTACCCGGTCCGGTTTTAATCCGGCAAAAATAATTTCCGGAGTCCGGCAGAATTTACCCGGATTCCGGACCGGATCCAGGATTTTTTCCGGATTTTTCAAAAAAAAATTTTTCCATTAATTTTTGAGTTAAAATGTTGTAAGAGGTGTGTTGCTCATGTGTTAAGATGTTTTTAGTGGGGATATCTAAGTATTTTGAGGATTATGAAGGATGATTGGTGGATTTGTGGATATTATAAGGGATAAAGAGGTACTATGGGGGATAAAATGGATAACAGGTGACTTGGGGATTATAAGGGATATCGCGGGATTTAAGTGGTAAGGGGATGTAATCAACCTATATCCATCTTAATCCATACAAATACACTTATATCCCACCTTAGTCCCTCCAAATCCACCTATGTATATCCCTCGTGTTTTGGTAAGACCCTGTTTTGTCTAGCCTTGTTTTGTAACTCCGTGTCGTGTGTTTTGCAGTTCCGTCCCTTGTATTTCCTTAATCCTCCGATATCCTATCCACTTAATTTGCCGTTAGCTTTTCGAATATAATGATATCCTCCTTAACCCTCGATATCCATCCAAATCCATTAATATCCCATTAATCACGAGGGATTAGGGACGGGGGCAAGAGACAATTGCTAGTTTTTTTAAAAGATCGAACGGAACATGATAGCACTCTAATTTTATACAAGGAGGACTCAATCATGAGGACTTAGTTGAACTGTCCCGATTTTGGAAGGCCAATAAAGAATTCATTTCTTTTCAGCGCCGCAGGCGAAAATTTTTGATTTTCAGAAGATCAAGTGTCAAAAACGTGTCTGGTGAAAACGGCAGTGGTGAATTGGGCAGTGAGCAATTTGGGCAGTGAGTGATTTGGGCAGTAAATGTTTTTAAAAAAATAATTTTACACGCAAAAACAATTTGAGTAACGTTAGAAGAATAATTTTGAGTGATTTGGGCAGCTTATTTACACAAAAATTCAAAGAACCGCACCCCTTTTTCATTTTGATAACGTACAACATTACACTTTGTTGAAATCGTCTTGGTCTCAATTTTGACGTTTCCCTAAGTGATAAGTAGATTTAAGGTTTTAAAAATTGAGAAGTAATTCCTATTTTAAGTTTTTAGGTCTCAAGATAGGTCCAAAATACCTATCTGAAAAAGGTCAAAATAGTTTTGGAAAAATATGTTAAGATTTTGAATTTACTTTAGGTTAAATAAAAATTTCGGAATTTTCTTATCAATTTTAAATAATTTTAAAATTCCAAGTTACTGCCCAAATCACTCAAAATTATTCTTCTAACGTTACTCAAATTGTTTTTGCGTGTAAAATTATTTTTTAAAAAACGTTTACTGCCCAAATCACTCACTGCCCATATCACACACTGCCCAATTCACCACTGCCCAAATCACACGGCACCGTCAAAAATCTTCCTTTTTTATAAAAAAATACAAGAAAAACGGGAAAATTCCAGAACCGGACCAAGTCCCAAATCCGGTGTAAAAAATTTGCCGGATTCGGATCCGGATTCCGGATTTGCAACTTGAGCCGGACCGGATCCGGCCGGATTTTTCCGGATTAATCCGGTCCGGTTTTAGTCCGGAAATTTCAAAAAAACCCGGATTTGGGATCCGGACTCCGGGAAAATCCGGCCGGATCCGGTCCGGTGCCGCGCACTAATTTTGAGTGGGACATTTTGTGAGTTGGTCTAAATTTCCTGTTTGACAATTATCGAAATTTTAAAAAATTTACACCATTTTTGTTAAAAAATTATTAAAAATGACACCTTAAAAAATTATTACTAGATCTAAAATTTGGTTAAGGAGCTCAAGACTGAATCCCAATTTAAGGAAACATTTACAAAAAAGAGAATTTATGTATATTAATTAATTAAAATTTATTACTTGAAATCTTAAGGTTTTTATAAAAATACCCGTAAACCGTTTAAATAGGGGAATGTGAAAGTTGGATTGAACAGTTATTGAGGGCCTTGCATCAAATTTCAGGCCTACAAATTTTGGGTGATCTTTCTAGATTTAGAAAGATTTCTAGTAAAAAATTAGCTACCGGACTAGAATAGAAACTGCTAAAGTTGGTTAGAAAAACGCTTAAGTCGAAAACTAAGAAAGCTCAAAATACAAGCATGTCTTGTCTACTCATTCAGAATTTCAAAAAAAAATCGGGCACATCTTTAGAATTTGAAATTTAAAACTTGAATTTATCAACCTCATCTAATCTTAACCGCGGAAATTTTCAAATATATTGTATAGTTTTTCTATTCTTTTTAGTCTAATTTTTAATCAAGTTTATTTTCCTTATTACAAATACTAAAAAATAATAGTTTACCTACCTAAAAATATTGTCAATAAAAAATAATCAAAAATTGGTTAGAAACGAGAGTTACCGTATTTACTCAAATAACTACTCTAATTAAAATAATTACCCCTCTAAAAACTTCAAATAATTATTCCGGCACTATTTATCCCTTTCCAACAATAGAGTAAAGCATTAATTACCCAGAGTAATTATTTGAGTAAATACATAAATAAATTAATTTGTTAAATAATATCAATTTTTAAAAATTTATTTTTCTATATACATCATTGCACGAATTGCCGACAAATTGCACTATGAAATGCACGGCTTTAGGCCCTGTGGGGAGAAAAAAGAAAAGGGAAAGGCCAAATTTTATGACCAAATTATTAATTAAAAATTTAAAAGAAAAATTAGATACTACTATAGCATTATTTGCCCCATTTTACTTTTCTACTCCTTCCTTCGTTTTCATTATTTATGGATGGTCTAAATCGCCGGAATACTCCAGCAGCATTCATAATTTTTTGATAATATTAGGGCTTGTGCTAAACAGGAAAACCTGAAGAACCGGATTTAAAAAAGTTTGGAATGCCCTGTTTAGCCTTGATCTTTGAACTTGACATAAATTTTAAACAAAGCTGTTCCGAAACAAAAAATCGTCGAAATCGAAAATCGAAGGAAAAATAACCTCGAAACTCGAAAATCAAATAGCCCTTTTAATGTAGTTGCAGATATCCCGACCTGGGAAATTCTCAAAATTTTCGCCTGCTGCGCTTAACAAGTGGATTTTTTCGGCCTCTTAATCCTCCAGTTTATCCTCCAATCTCCTTAAATCCTTCGATATCAATCAAAATCCTCTTATAACCCAGATACCACCAAAAATATCCGCAGAATCTTTTTAAACCCCTTAATCCCTTCAAATCCTCTGATCTCCCCGATATCTATTACGTAAAAATTTTTTATGTGAAAATCCCGAAATCCCATTGGATTTCGCTAAATTTTAGAACGGTAATATCGGGATTACGGGATTAAGCACGCAGGATCTTGAAAAAAATCACGTTATGGGATCCCGTGAATGCGATTTTGCCGCACACTAAATGATTTTTTAAATTGTGCCCTTATTTGTTAAAATTGATAAATCTCTTCTTATTTAAAAAAATTTAATAGTTTGGAACTAGAACTAGCTTGGAACTAGTTCCAGAACTTTTTTGAATATGAAGAGAGGAATTTTAAAAATGGAGTTCCGAAACTGGAACTACAAAAATTAAAAACCTAGTTCTGGAACTGAAACTAGTTCCAGAGAAATTTTGGAACTTTCCCATCACTGCAGACAAGGACTAAACTTTTAGTTCTTAAGTAATTTAGATTAATTATGCGCCTTTAATAAATTATAATTTTATGATAAATGAAAAATGAAGGAGAATAAAGGAAAATGGGGGCAGATAATGCGATAAACTATCAAAAAATATTTAAAAATTAACTCAACTTATTAATTTAAAAAACTTAACTCGCCAC